AGGTAGATATGGTCAGATCCACGCAGACTGCAAGCTGGAAATTGTTGGATTGATCTTCAGAACCAGATGTGTGTTTCCAGATGAGGAAGATCTCTGACGTTTCTGCTTCCCGTTACGTTCCGAGCAGTCGGACAGCATGGGGAATAAGCAGTTCACCCTGCATCTCAGTGGGCCCATTCGCCTGTCACCTCATCTTCCCTGCTCATCCTGCTTCTGTATAGTCCCTGCTGTCATTCATGAAATACTCGGCCTTTCATAGATGAATCCAACGACGTCACAGTCTGAATCGGACCTGACAATGGACCACCTGATTTCTTACTTTCCCCTCCCTCGAGCCACTGATGGGAATCTCTCCATTATTGAAAGTTATAAGAACCACGCGAAATCTGTCATGCCTACTCGACAATTTTCATTTTTGCTGCTATTTCAAAATCATTCTTACCTCGTTTGACTGGCCAATTGTTTCTTCTTTCACAGTTGCATCTTGAGAACACCAGTCAGCATGACCATACCAGACAAACAATGGGCCCAGGTGGTCGAAAAGAAGGGCAATCCACCGGTTTACAAGGAGATCCCCGTGCCCAAACCCGGCCCCGATCAGATCCTTGTCAAGATCCGTTACTCGGGTGTCTGTCACACAGACCTGCATGCCATGAAGGGCGACTGGCCCCTCCCGCTGAAATTGCCTCTTGTCGGAGGCCACGAGGGTGCCGGGGTTGTTGTGGCCAAAGGCGACCTGGTGACTGGCTTCGAGATTGGCGATCACGCAGGTATCAAGTGGTTGAACGGATCCTGCATGGAATGTGAATTCTGCAAGCAGTCTGAGGAGCCTCTCTGTCCCCAGGCGACCATGTCTGGCTACACTGTCGATGGCACCTTCCAGCAGTACTGTGTTGCCAAAGCCACTCATGCCTCGAACATCCCAAAGGATGTTCCCCTCGATGCGGTCGCTCCCATCCTCTGTGCCGGTCTCACGGTCTACAAGGGCCTGAAGGAATCTGGCGCACGCCCCGGGCAGACAGTCGCGATCGTGGGCGCAGGAGGGGGCCTAGGCTCTCTCGCCCAGCAATACGCCAAAGCGATGGGATTGCGAGTCGTAGCGATCGACGGCGGCGATGAGAAGCGAGAAATGTGCGAGAAACTCGGTGCAGAGGTAAGAGACGGCCTGCATTGTCTGCGCGTATCCAACTAACGTCTCCCGGGACGCCTAGGCCTACATCGACTTCACCAAATCCAAGAACGTCGTCGAGGACGTCAAAGCCGCCACCCCGGGCGCACTAGGCGCCCACGCTGTTCTCCTACTCGCCGTCTCGGAGAAGCCTTTCCAGCAAGCTACGGATTACGTCCGCTCGCACGGTACCATCGTCGCGATCGGTATGCCCGCAGACGCATACCTGAAAGCCCCCGTGTTCAAAACCGTGGTCAAGATGATCAGCATCAAGGGCAGCTACGTAGGAAACCGCCAGGACGGCGTCGAGGCGATCGACTTCTTCGCCAGGGGGCTCATCCATGCGCCGTTCAGGAAAGCGCCATTGAAGGATCTTCCGCGCATATTTGAGCTAATGGGTTAGTCCTTTTCCTATGCCCGTTCGAGATCCGTCACTGACAGCCCTGTAATAGATCAAGGTAAGATTGCCGGTCGATACGTTCTTGAAATACCGGAGTAGAGGGCGAAGATCGGCAGCGCAGCAGCAATTGACGAATTGAGGTGCCGAGATGTAATCCTTAATTATGATTATATTCAGTAGCCTATAGTCTACATAGAGTTATTTTATTGTACAAGGGAAGTCATGGCTTATTAATACTTAACGAAGCGACGTGTTTCTAACATTTACTAATCGATTTGAAACTCACCTGCATATCCAGCCTGAAAATCGCCAGTAGATGTAATCCAATTCGAACAGGAAACCGGTAATTACAAGAAACAACACGATCATCCTGTGATCAAGAGAGACAGGTACCCTCGTCAATTGACACCTTTCTCCCCAACCAACCCCTCCAGATTCGTCTCCGAAGGAGTAGACGACGACTGTCCAACCGTCGCCTGCGGTCCCTTGTAGAACTTACGCGCATACAGAAGATAATACAACAGTGCACCGCCCCAAAGCGCACCGTTGATGACGACGGTATAGTTCATATCCTCGGCTTTCAAGTCTGTCAGCACAACGCCTTTATTACCTACAGAGAGGAAAGACTTACGAGTTGGAGCAGGTCCCAGTGTGGGGAACATGCACAAGACGATCGCGAAGGAGAGATACACGATGGCCGTGACGGCGATAGGCTTGCTCAGCCATCCGGTGTAGAACTCCCCCGGCTGGAAGCGCTCGCCACCCCACACGAGCCGCGCAAAGATGGGGGTCATCCAGGCGAGAGCGTTCCCCGCGACGGCGAGGGAGAAAAGAGCGCTTGAGGCGGCGTTGTTGATGAGGCAGAGCAGGCCGATGATGATAGCGGCTGCGACGACACCCCAGATCATGCGGACTGGCTGGTAACGGATGCGTTTGCTGACGTGCCGGAAGAAGGAGGAGAAGGGGAGGGCGCCGTCGCGGGAGAAGGCCCAGCTCTGTCTGGAGGCGGCGAGGACGAGGCTCAGGCCCATGAAGAACTGAACGATGGCGACAACGGCCATGAAGCCCAGGGCACCGGGTTTGCCGAGTGCGTCGTAGTAGATCTGGCGGTGATCAGCTCGGGCTTATGCGGGTGTCCTTTAGGGCTTGACAAGCTTACCTGCGCCATCGGTTGACCAAAAGCAGTCCCCAGAACGTTGTCCAGCTTGGTATCCATCACGGCTGCTATGACTGCAAGAGACAGAAACCCCAGGATGCCACATAGCCCGATCGACCAGAGGATACCGAGTGGTACCGCACGTGTGGCATGAGTAGCCTCTTCGCTCATATGGACGCAGGAATCAAAGGCACCAATGGTCCAGATAGGCGACAGCCACGCAAGCATAAACGCCCACCCCGCTGGCCATGTGGTCAGGTTTTCAACATGTCCGAAGACATAGGAACCCGAGTTGACGGGTCCGCCATTCATCGCCTTCCCAACAGGGAGCGCAATCACGGTTGCTACCACGAGCCCGATGTTGCTGACGATGCAGAGCGTCTGGATCTTCGGCATAATTCGCGCAAAGAATGTGGTAATCAACCCGTGTACAACGACGCAAGCGACGTATGTGGCATACACGACCGGGCGGGAAGCGGTCCACTCCCCATCGCGGGCGATGGAAACGAGTGACAGCAACATGGTTGCAAACCCATCTACATCCTGCACGTCAGCATATGCCTCAGACACAACCAGACCGGGGGAGGGCTCCACGCACAATCGATCGAGCAGACCCCACCCACAAGACCGATGGTATTGCTGTATCCAACGACAAAACTCAGCGGGTTCTTCCATTTCTCATCGCTGAAATAGTGCGTCCAGAAATAAAGACCGCCAGCGGTGGGCATCGCGGATGCCAGGTCAGCCTATGAAAAGACAGACGATCAGCACCGGGCAGTCAATTCTGTATACAGTCAAATCACGTACCATAGCCAAACCAACAATGAAGATGAACATGCTTGCAACGAGCCAACCTAGAGGGCAGTCAATACCGCTGATCGAATGCGTCCACAGACAGGGACCCAAAGCTCTTACCCTGTCACTGGTCAGCAGGGACACTCCAAATTCCGCACTGCAACTCATGGAAATAGTTTACCCAGACCATGCCCACTGGGCCCGCAGGCAACGAGAATGACAAGGTAGATGCAATGGAGGGTAACAATCCCATGATGCTGAATGCAACCGCGAAGATCTGGGTAGTGGAGTAGTGTCGCCGAAGCTCTTGCTTGTACCCCAGCGTCGCTGGAAGGATCAATATCCATCAGCATATTCTCATTGCAGATGATACACCATGCCACACACCCAGTAACTCCATGTCACCAGACTCAACAGCGATATCAGGATCGACTGTTGGCGCAGCCTTGGACTTGACGTCCATAGCTCGAGTATTTTCCACCATGACTTGGTGCACAAAGTGAGATACGAGTTAACAATACGAGAGGACCATGAAGCTGCAGATTAGCAAGAAAGGTCATCGAAGTTAATCCATCTCACGTTGGCGTATCTATATTTAATATCCATCTGAATATGCACGCGACCCAAGGTAGAGTTACGAGAGGATTGAGTTCTGACAAGGAGGGGTGTACCTCCTAGGATCCCTTGCATGGAGTTGCATTCACCCAATGTCTGTCTGATAAGGAGTATTCATCGTCTCAACCATAATGTCGTCGTCATATTGTCCTCCTGAGTGGGGGTTCAACAGCTGAGCTAAAGGCACGGGAAGTCAGAGGAGCCAATCTCAGCAACTCAATGCTTTGTGTTACTGTGGTAGTGGCGATGGCCGGATTCTGATACTCAATTAGTTAGTTATCTATCGCGAGCGAAACAATCTGACACGGAGAGAGCATCCAATCTCGGCGCTTCATGGCGATGATAAGAGCCAGGAGCGTGCATTAGCTCACAAACTTGACGATGGCTTGAGTTGACTCTTTAGCGATGATGAGGAGAAAGGCGCAAGTCAGCGCGAGTTTTGCCTATTCGGAACTGATTGCCTGTCTTCCGAGGCTCAGAGTTGCCGGCTTATCGGTACGTTCAACAATATCATGATAAGATTGATGATATCTTCCACTCTGTATGGAAAGTTTATCTCAAGGACAAAACGGGACAAAGAGGGGGGTCGGACTCCCTCTACTACCATAAGTCTGTTGCTTAAACTGCAAGCACCACCCTTCAGGGTTCCAGACCCCAAAGTCCCAATCAAATGCAAAATATGAAGCCACGGGCGTAAATGTAGCCCAGTACCAATTTACAACACGAATCTGCGCAATTGAGCCCGGGCTCCTACCATCTATGAGCAGGCCGAGACTGCAGAGTCACAAACAAAGAAGAATCAGATGAAGAGAAACACCGGAAAATCGGATAACAAAACATTAAGTATATATACATAGCATCGTGGCTCAAACGGCACCTGGGCCCTTGTGGTGTGACTGATCTAGAAGCAACCGCGGCTTGATGAAGTCCTCGTCCAGCTGTCGGAACCAGGCGGCATGATCGCCAGATGGCCCACCCGAGAACAAATCACGAAGAGCTTCCCTCGCACTCAGTCCTGTCTCTCTCCTTGTGGGTGACGCTCCGCTCGAAGGAACAGCTTGTGAAGGCATCATATTCTGTGCCTGTGACGGTGACCGCCGCAGTCTAGAAGCCGCAGCCGGCGCAGAGGGGGGTAGATCATCGTCAGATGCACCATCATCGATATCCAAATCAAATGCATCAGCTTGGTCCGGCTCTGATGCCCCTCGGCCGCGGCCAACGGCTCTCAGGCCGAATTCATCCTCACTAGTAGCACTGCCATCGCTGTGAATTCCAGCCCCGTTCCCGAGAAGCGTCGCCGTCGATGATCTATCGCGCGCATCTTTGGAAGTGTAGGCGTTGGAATACATCCGTGCATGGCCCCGAGCCGACTGGGGCGGGCTAGGGCGGCGGTTGTTGCCACTGGAATAGCTGCCGGTCCTGTCACCGAGACCTGATCGCCGTATCCCGTCCAGGGGAATGGTAGAATCCGTGCGTCGGGGCGTATATCCCAGGCCGGTGTCGGACCGTTTGTAATAGGTGCCCCCATGGGTGACCTCGATGTCGAATTCATCGTCGGACTCAATCTCCTCGACGACGCCGGTCCGAATCCCAAGAATCTCCAGCATGCGAGCAGTCGTACCTCCGAAGATGATGACGGTCAACACGACGACAACCAGGACAGTGGCACGCAACGCCGGCGCGTTCACCCCTGTAAGCCCCGCGGCCAGCGCAACCCCCACAGCTCCGCGCAGGCCCGCCCAGAATAACATTGCTTGATGGGCGAAGGGCAGCTCGTCCGCGACTTCCAAGCCGTGACGGCGTGCCCTGTACCGGATGAACCAATTGATCGCCTTGGACAACGGGAACACGGCCAGATAACGGGCAAGGCAGATGCCAAAGACGGCGACAAGAATGAACAGAGGCTTAAATTGTAAATTCGTTTCGACCAACAAATCGAGGCCCAAATAGATGAAGATGAAGTTCTCCGACAATTGTGCCATGACCTGGAAGAGATATTTGGTGGTCAACTGCGTCCGCCGTGACATGTTGTAGTAGGCGTAGTGTTTCATCGTGATACCACAAAACAGCAGAGAGACGATGCCTAAGCCTGTCAGTTACCGGGACGCTGGAGAAGGTCCAAAGACACTCACCGGATAGGTGGACACCGTTCGAAAAGAAATAGCTGGCATACGCGATGAGGACAATCAAGCAGCTTTCGATCTTAGGCATGCGACGAACGTGCGTGTATTTCAGCCCCAGTGCGGTCATGATCCCAACAATCATGCCCACCAGCATACTACCAAAGAAGCCAAGCAGGAAGAGTCCGATAGCTTCAAAGAGATTGAGGATCGTCAGCGAGCCAGCATCACTGTCCGCATACTTCTGCGCTGTCTCGAACAAGACAATGGCAATGGCATCGTTCAAAATCGACTCGCCAAAAATGACCGTGTAAAGTTTGGGCTCGACTTTGTAGATGTTGAAAATGGCCAAGATCGTCACCGGATCCGTCGCAGAGAGCGTGGCCCCAACAGATATAGCCTCGACGAAAGAGATGTTCAGACCATCCAACGGGATCCGTGTCCAGATGAAAAGAACCAAGCCCAGCACAATCGCGGAGATGAATGTCCCCGCAAAAGCAAAGGTGAGTATAGTGCCGATGTTGCGGAAAAAATTCGCCTGGTGTAACTCGTAGCCTGAGGCCAAAATGATAGGAGGAAGGAGAAGGTTGAAAAAGAACTGATAGTCGAAAGTGACGCTATCTTGTATAGGCGACTCGGGACTCAACCGGATAATCAACCCGACAAACATACCTGCGTTAATGCGCATGAGCGACCGCCGACCCTTATGGGAGACAGATAATAGCAGAGACAAAGTTGAACGTACCAGCAAAGATTGACAGAACCGTTTCGTGGACCGCCTGGATCTTCTTTTGTTGCAGTATATAACTCGTAAACAGGGCAAACATCAACAGCATGATCAGGATGAAAAGAGCCCAGGAGCTGAAGAACTCTTTCTTTCCGGCTTTGGGAACATCTGAAATAGCTCATCAGCAACCGACCCCAGAGGTTTCTGAGTATAAGAGATCAACGCGCGTACCATCATCGGGCTCGTCCGAGTCGGCGGCTCTCCCTGCAGAACAAAGACAACAGGTTAGCCACGGCACTATCACTGTTACATGATCCATAACAAAACTGTTTCCAGTCAAATGACAGCAAACAATTCATAGGCGCAGACATCAAAGCAGCAATGAAGGACGTACGGATCAGCTGGTGAAGGACGTCGCCCATCAGTTGGCTCGCCATTATGAAGTCCACACAACCACCAAGCGGTTAACCCCAGCTGCGAGTCTCTGACGCCAAACCAAGGCGCACATAATAATAACTGACAGATGCAGTGCAAGAAGGGCAAACCACAAACGAAACGAAGTATTAGTGGCAAGGTGGAATGTTGCGATGGGAAAGATAGATGGATCAGGTAAAGTAAAGTACCTTGGTTTGGGGACAGGTAGCCGTCAATGTTGGAGACGCCCGCCCGAAGCCAAGCCCGATATCCACAAGGCTTGTCGGAGGCCGCCCCCCATCCTTTAACATCTCAAAATTTGAAGACTTGATCTTCGATAAAGAGTATTTGTGGCAAGAACGGGATTTATAGTACAATGTACCTATCTATGGAGATAAATACCCGACTACGAGATGATGGAACATTCAATTCACGCCGCGCGATCCCCAAGGCGACTGGCCAGCCAAGCCGCAACTAAAGCAGCACATCCTCCAAATCTAAGCACCCATCCAACACTGTCATCCCAAGGCTCTCCCCTAGGCTTCTGGAAGGCCTTAAAGATAGCACTACTAATCAAGCTTGAAAAGATCTGGGGGGCAGACACTGCCACGTTATGGAGTCCGAGAATGATGCCCGCTTGGGCAAGATTTTCCTCCTGGTCCTTGACCTTGGCGCGTCGCGGTCGAGCACCGTTCTCTAGATCTTCGTCGTAATCATCACCATCACCGTGGTCACCAGCGACATTCGCAGCGGCATAATGTTCAGGAGGTATTTCCATCTCTGTTTGATGCCGCCGAGTCCGACGCTCCGCATCAATGCGGGACACCTCCGCGGAGATCAGGGCGAAGGGAGCCCATAGAGTCAAGGCCCACGAAATGCCCACGAGTCCAATAACCACTGATCCAGCCTGATAAGAGGAGATGAAGAAGGTGCTAAACATGCAGACCGCGAACAGGACGTGAGAGATAAGCCATGCCCGGCGCAGCGTCAGCCCAGGTATCTGCAGCTTCGATAACCATGTTGATTCATCTCCACTTCCAGTTGGCTTACCGCTGGGGGTTTCTAAGGCGGGTTCTGAGGCGACACCGACGGGCAGACTTGAGATTGACATCCTTCTAGATAGACAGGGTTCGCTCTCCTCTGGAGTATCCGGGTAAGCCTGCTCCGGCCTTGTGATCGGCCTGTATGTCGGGACAACAAAGAGCGGCAAGATCATGTTAGCAATAAACGAGATTATTGCGTAAATCAAAAGTGCAAACGTTCCGATTCGAGTGGCTTCTTCCCAGGCCTTATTAATGTCATCTTCGGATAAGTTTCGATGCCGTTCGAAGATAGGATTGACATAGAGCTGCCCTATGTATGTCGTTGCGTAGAATAGAAACGGAAACCAGCCAACCCAGGCCGCAAGCTGAACCTCACAAACCTTGGCGATCTGCGGAGGCAGAAACTTGATCGACTTGAACACTTGCCGAAAAAAGCCAACAAGTCCAAGACTATCTGAGGACGGTGGTCCTTCGAGCCTTGGGTCTCGCTCATGGATATAAGAACAGCTGATGCCCAGCGTAATACCGAGCGCCAGTGAGGACAATGCACAGAGCACCTTGAACTGAGTATTTCCAAAAAAGGGGAAGATTTTGGGCAGATCGAGGTATCCAAAGATGTATCCAAGGATATTGCCCACCCCAGTAAGCCGACTAGCCCAAGCGTTCGCCGATTCCTGCTGATGAGCGGGAGCATTATCGACGATGAATGCTCGAATACCTGCCTGAACTGTACCGAAATATTACCATCCATGCGCCAACTGACAGCGGTTTGGTGGAAATGTGCTTACCAGTATTGATGGCGAAATCTAGACAGTACATCAAGACTGTCGCTAGAAAGATTATTGTCGTCCGAGTGCCATCAGAGGCCGGATCGACGCCAAAAATCCCGAGAAAACCTCCAACAATCTCTTGCACCCATGCAAGCGCAAGGAGCGCCACAATGGTCGCCGCGGCACCAACAATCATGAAAGGCTTCCTTTTACCCCACGATATCCGACAGTTATCGCTCCGAATGCCGATGTACGGTTGCACAAGTGTACCGGTCAGGGGTCCCGCGATCCAGACAAAGGCAAGCAGAGCCTTGCTCATTCCAAGGGACAGAAGGAAAGGCTGCATATGTATCGGACCATCAGACACCGTCTTCGTGTAACAACCACCGCCCAAAAGTGAACACTTGACCACCTACCGATCCATTCGATAGCTCCACCGACCACACAACCTGCAAACTAAACCATAATGTCAATATCGCCGCGACGTCAAAAAAAGGAAAGGTCCCCCTCAAAGATATGGGGATGGACATACCCAACAATGCTCAGCGTCAACAAGAAAAGATACCAGCTACTCTTCGTTTCCGCGAAATTCCCCGATTGATCACCCTGGGGAACTCCATGATGCCTTTGGCTGACTGTGATTGAGTCCACAATATCATCATCGTCCGTACGGTTAGGTCCCACCAGGGGAGAAGTCTCGTCCACCACGCGGTCATCCGTCCCCGACATTGATATGATGTCGCTGCTCCGAAATGTTTGAACACAGCTAGGATACCGACTTTTCCTGTGAACACAAGGCTATCCCGTGCCCAAGGAGTGAAACTCTGAAGTCAGCGACCGCGAGAAAAGAAAGATAATGTTAGGCTGGTGGGAGCGAATGGTGAAATGGTAGTATAGCATAAGTCTGGGGTAATCCAGAGACAATAACTTGTTATCTGGAGATAAGGGACGAGAACTATTGCAGGTTCGCTAGGATGGGAGCATGCTGGGAAAATGGTGAGGAATTACGAAACTGAGCTATTTGCATCAAGATAGCCAGCAAAGACCTAGTAATACCATCAATCAAAGCAAAAAGGAGGTCGCTCCTGCTGGTGATCTTGTGTCTTGTAGAATCGGACCGACGTCAGCAGACGATGCACGTGACTCCGCCCGATGATCTAGATCTGACAACCAACGCAGCTGGTCAGTGGTGAGCTGGTCGAATGATGCGCCCTAGTGATGCGGAAGACTCTGCAGGATTAGCTTAGGGAGGGTTTACTCTGCAGGTGTTCCAACGCAAGGACATGATAAATGATATGCCATTGATATGCTGTGATCTATGTACTCATCTGATCCACTCCAAATTTTAAACGTAACTCCATCTCTCAGACGGCGGTCTATGATTTGAGTTGCGGTCACATCCCAGACTGGCAAGCAGAATTGATGGTCCGAACATGATACTGCACAAAATTTCCTCAAAAGCTGTACGCCGGTTCTGACCCAGCCCGCATCGCGCATTACCTTCCGTTTCGATCTTCCAGATTCCATAACAAAGGGGGAAAAAGTAATACAGGCAAAACCCAACTCTCGAACATAGCACACAATGACAAAAGAGAAATAGACAGAAAAGAAATGTCATACGTCAGAAACTGGCTAAAGTCGCGTGTCCATAGTGTCAGTTCGCAAGAATCAGGCTGTACGGACAAAATGGAAGCCAGGCCAGCGGCAACCGTAATACATACAGAGCCCGAGTACAAACACTAGCTGATAAGCAGTCATCGCGTGGATAAAAACACACATCAGCGCACAAATCCACATTGAACTCAAACAGAGGGCCTCCAAAAAAGTTCTCGATGTGCATCATGAAAGTGATCGAAAAATTTCAAATTCAACATTCACATCACGCTTAAGTAGCCCGCCAGCCTGCTGCAGGTTGGGGGCCATTGAGTGACGTGAGGCAGGGAATGCTGCGTCTGGCCAAGGGCCAAGCGTAGGAAGGGATGAGACACCTGGATAAATTAGAGGGTCATAGCCATATACACGCAAGTGGTCAATTTCCGTTTTCATTCCCAAGTTCCGTTTGCGTACCCAAGGTAATTGCTCAGATTTGCTGTTGTAGGAGCTGAGAAGCGATCATGTGGGGAGCCATCATGCTTGGCATCGCAGAGGTCAACGACATTGTCGACGGCATCGATGTCATGCCCACGGAATTGACCATAGAACTGGGCATAGCTTCACCAGGCGATGAATCTCTGTCGGATCCAAGTTCGTTCTCCTCATTTTCAAGGTCCTCGTCGTGTGAAGGAAGCGGTTGCTGGCCATCCTGTTGAGCCTCGTGGATACGACGATGTCTGCAAGGGAAAAATGAGCGAGGATTCTATGACGTAAGGCGGTGATTAAGACTTACTGGGCAAGATTGTCGGAGCGGGAGAAGGCTTTGTTGCAGTAAGGACAGGGGTAAGGCCGCTCTTGTGTGTGGGTGCGCACATGCCTGGGCGGTTAAGTGTTAGTCGGCGGCTACAGCAATCAAGGCAGGGGAACACCCTGCAGATAGTCCCAGAGAAGCGGTCGAACGAAAGAGACTCGGAGATTAAAATATGCAACTCACCGTTTTAGATGTTCCAATCGCTTGAAAAGCCGCCCGCACGATGGAATCGGACACGAATGGGACTTCTGAGGATATGGTCCTAGCTCCATCATTGTAGCGCTTCGGGCGCGGCGAACGGGGCCAGGAGCGAATCGCTCCACTTTATTTGAAACACTGTTCTGCACAGCTGCCTCATACGCTTCCCCATTGGGAAGCGTGACCAGGTCATCCTGATGGCTCGTCATCTGAGGATTCGGCTCAGGATTTTCCGACACATTTGAGAGCGGGGTCCCGTTGCGGGACATCTCGTGCAACAAATTTCTTTGTGGAAGAACTGCAGAAGCATATCCGTTTGCGACCTGAGTGGAAGCTTCAGGTGTTTCCTCCCCTTCTGCTGCCGGCGCTACGGAATTTGAGACGGAACGTCGAAGATCACTAGGCCTATGAGCGGCATACGCAATCTGCTGAGATGGTGCGGATGTCGTTTGGGCATGCCCAGTGGCCGCGACACTGGGTGGGATTGAAGAGCGACGACGACGTTGCTTGTACGTTGGAGAACCCTCGATCACTGAATATACGTTCGAATGGTATGTCCTGGCGGGCATCGGGTAAGGAGCGCTTGCGAGATTCGAAGGCGGTAGCTG